ATGGTGACACAGCATCTCAACTACTGGACACACAAGACCTGAAGACACGTTAACATGTATCTCTCCCTCAAAGAACTGCTTGTGATTCTTAAGTAAGTCATCAAGCTAAGACTATGATCTTTCTCCAATTTTATTCCTACTGCTGCAGCTCATACCATATCAAAAAAATATTTCTCTACCCAGTCTTCCAACATACAGCACAGTCACTGACTTTTAACAATTATGTTCTTGCTAAACACACCTAAAAAATGAAGACAATACGACTTCAAAAACCATACCACTTCTCTAAGAAGTTGGTTTCAAATGTTAATTTTTCCCATGCCATTAAAAAAAAAGCTGTAGTTTAAATTTCTCTGGTATTAAAACTTCTTTTTCCTGCTTGCTTAAATATTCTTTCTGTGTGTGATTTTTCCATTCCTTAGATAAAACATTTTCATTGTACTTTGTAGAAGGTAAAGAGATTCAGCTTTATCCTTCCTATTTGTCCAAATTACAATTTTTTTCTAACCCAATAAATCTTTTTCCTCTCTTCTCCCCACTAATTCAGAATCGTATAAAAAAAGAATAACAACAGCTAATAACGCTGCATGAAGTATTGCAGCATCAATCTCATTTATGCAGTATACTGGAGCAATTGTTGCTTCATGGACCTATTTAACTGTACTCGAGTAACAAAAGACTGAATTAACTGTTTGTGCTACTGCTCTCCACAGAAAACTCTTATCCAGGTGTTTGGTCCCTTTAACACTTAATCCTTCCAGATCTTCATGGGATGTTGGTCAGACATGGATTGATTTCTTTTGTTATGAATAAACTAACTTTTGTCATAACTAATCTCTGAAATTAATTTCAAACACAACAAATGTACAAAATAACTTTAGGCAAGGCTAACCAATGCAATGTGGTGTTGGATTCCATCCTGATTCAGTACATTTTACAGCTGCTCTTTCACCATATTTGTATCCTTTATCACAGGCAAAGTGTAGTTGTTCAAATTCCTTGTAAGACCTCTTTGAAGAATGTACATATCCATTCAGAATTTCTGGCACATCACAGATGATCTCTGAAATTGAGAAAGACAAAATCCATATATTTTTGTTTATTTTTATTTGCCAAGAATAAATGCCTACTGGAATAAAATTTAGGTTTGTGTTTTGGTTTTTTTTTTTCCATTTGACTTCACAACATTTGCATTTGGAAACTTTTTGAAACTTATTTGAGAGCTCTTCAATGATCTGATTGTGGGTGCTAGGTAGAAAGTGTGGTGTAGCACAGCACCAATAGCAAATTGGTTCACAAGATAGATTTCAGGGCTTTGCTTTGGATTTTAATGAATCTCAGAATCAGTATATAAGGCAGGGGACATTCTAAAATAAGCAAACAGGCTAGCTGAAATTTAGGATTTTCCATTTTTCAGATAATTTAATTTCCTTGTAATTTCCAGCAAACCTAAAGCTCTCTCATAGCCAGTAGACGGTAGGTTAAATCACAGCATCAACAGGAAAAAAGAATTAAACTATAGGGAAAACTGACACTTAAATGCTTATTTACAAAAGAACCTCAGCATTCCCAGCTCCTTGCCAAACCCAGTAAAACCACTGAGATTGTGTAGTTCCCCAAAACTGCACTGATAAAGCCAGAAATTATTCAAGGCCAAAGAGTTCTCTTGGATTCCTTTGCTTGATTTAGTTTGTATTTAGGATAAAATATAGCTCAATGGAACTGTAATTGTTTAATAAAATTCACTGTATTCTGCAAATGTTACAAGGACATGTTTTTAATCCCACTTTATGCTGTTCAAATTACGATAAATGGAGGTTTCAAAGCAGCAAAATGCAGTGCTGAAATTGTGAACAAATCATATGTCTATCTGACATCCTGACACATGTACTCTGCTCTTCTAAAAGCATGCTTCCCAATCAGATAACATATAAATAATCAAAGAAACTTGATGGGCTGAATATTTAATAGTGATTGCTACCATAAGCTTCATTGTTACATACCAACAATCCAATCCCATATAACCTCTATTTGCAAAATAGAAGGAATGACCCCATCCACCAGCAAAAGCCATGGGTGGAGTAGGGTGGGGTCGACTGGCTGAAAAGTATTTTTTCAGAAAAAGACTTGGAAGTCTTGATGGACAAGTTGAACAGGGGCCAGCAACATGCCTTTGCAGCAAACAAAGAAAACAGCATCCTGGGCTCCATTAGGAAGGGTGTTGCCAGCAGGCCAAAAGAGGTGATCCTTCCCCTCTACTCAGCCCTAGTGAGACCACATCTGGAATGCTGTGCCCAGGTCTGAGCTCCCCAAGATAGAAAAGACGTGGACATTCTGGAGCAGATCCAGTGAAGGGACATGATGATAATTAAGGAATTGGAAAAACTGACAGATAAAAACAGACTTAAGAGAGTCTAGAGAAAAGATGGCTTGTCGGGGAGGGAGGATCTTATTTGTATGTATAAATTCCTGACTGTGATGGGGCAGTCGGAAGTAAAGATGACGGAGCTAGACCCTTCTCCTTGGCACCCAGTGACAAGTTGAGAAGCAATGGGCACAAATTGAAATACAGGAACTTAAACACTTAAACATCAGAAAAAACATTTTTACTTAAGAGTGGTCAAACACTGGAATGGGTTCCCCAGAGAGTCTGTGGAGTCTCCATCCTTGGAGATGTTCAAAAGCCAACTGGACATGGTTTTGAGCTATTTGCCCTAGCTGACTGCTTTGAGGGACTTTCAAAGGCCCCTTTCAACCTCACCTATTCTGTGATTCTGTTGTTCTGTAAAAACTAAACACAAATTAAACTTATATCTTGTCAAAACACATTAGTCTGAAGAAAGAAAAATCCATCATGATTTCTCTGCATTTTATATACCCTAAGAACACGAGTGAATTAAAATCATACTTTTTAAACTTGGTTTACATAGATTCAAAATTGTTTGTATTACTTCGGTTAAATCAACACTGAAGTGACTGAATCTTATGTAGACATACCAAAGCTAGTTTCAAAGAGATTGACTGCAGCCTGGCAAAACATACAGCTTGTAGTGAAAATGTAGAACAAACATATGGTCTATTATGACTATATTAGCATCCAATATTCTCTGATTTCTCTTTCTTCATGGAATCATAGAATGGTTTGGGTTGGAAGGGACCTTGAAGATCATCTAGTCCAACCCCCCTGCTGTGGGCAGGGACCCCTTCTACTAGCCCTTGAACTCTGCCAGGGAGGGGGCAGCCACAGCTTCTCTGGGCAACCTGTTCCAGTGTCTCAACACCCTCACAGTGAAGAATTTCTTCCTAATATCTAATCTAAATCTACCCTCTTTCAGTTTGCAATCGTTACCCCTTGTCCTATTACTACACTCCCTTTCCTGTAGGCTTCCTTTAAGTACTGGAAGGCCACTATAAGGTCTCTCTGGAGCCTTCTCTTCTCCAGGCTGAATAACCCCAACTCTCTCAGCCTTTCCTGACAGGGGAGGTGCTCCAGCCCCCTGATCATCTTTGTGGCCTCCTCTGGACCCACCTGAGCAGGTCCATGTCTGTCTTGTCTTGGGGGCCCAGAGCTGGACACAGCACTGCAGGTGGGGTCTCACCAGAGCAGAGGGACAGAATCCCCTCCCTCGACCTGCTGGCCACACTTCTCTTGATGCAGCCCAGGATGCAGTTGGCTTTCTGGGCTGCGAGCGCATGTTGCTGGGTCACGTTCAGTTTTTCACCTACCAGCACCCCCAAGCCCTTCTCCCCAGGGCTGCTCTCGATCCACTCATCCCCCAGCCTGTATTTGTGCTTGGGATTGCCTCGACCCAGATGTAGATTCTTATCCTACTTCTGCACTTATGCAATGGAGATTGTTTACGGACAAACTGTGCTTAATTGGTATGGACTAAAGGGAAAGATTTGTAGTTTCCTATGTGGTAACCAGTCCTCAGAAGTCTGTGACAATAAAGCTTCGTAATTACAGATAATAAATACTGTCCTTTTTACCTTGGCACTGAGGCACATCACTATTCCAGTTTCCATCAGAAGAGCACATTATCTCTTTTGATCCAACAAGCTTGTATTTTGCATTACATTCAAAATTCACAACCTGGCCAAAAGAATATGCTTGGTCTAGCTCAAATGCACCACTCATAATTATTCTTCCGTTTTTTGGTGCTTGCACAGGTAAACACTTTGCCACTGAATAATAAAACAAAACAAAAGGAAAGGAAAAAAACGTCAATTTTGAGATCTATTCTGTAAAATAAACACACAAAAAATACAGAAAACTCACTGTAATTTCCTTACAGATTTTAAAAATACACACTTGTTATCTATACAGACAACATTTGCAATAGATATGTTAAAAAACCATAAGTAAAAAGACAGACTGACAGGATGAAGCTTGTAGACTGGCTCTCATCATCCTCTTCTCTGCCTTTGAAGGACAAAGACAGAGGACCCACTGAACTAGATGACCTCCTGAGGTCTTGCCCAATCTAAATTATCCTATGATCCTATCAATTCTATGGATGGTTAGATGAGCCTTGACTGACACATAGGGCCATTAAACTTTGTCAAAATAGGTTAATTTACTTTAGAGCTATGCCAAACTGAATTTTCTATAGACAAATATCTGGAAAAGTGCTGTGTGAGAGAGTGACTACAACAGTTCAGTTACTAACTAAAAATCCTAGTTAAGGATATCAGAACAATTACATTACTAAAGTAAATAAACACAATGCCAGCCACGAATTTAGACCTCTTGTATCTCCTAACTTTGTAACTGCAGAAAAAGGGAAGAATTAACATATGTCATCAGATATTTCTTATTAAGGGGGGAATGACTATCTAAGCTCATTCTTAAATGTTCACATAGGTATCACTAAGCATGTAGAAAGGTGGCTGGTGTTTCGCCTACCGTAGCTCCCACTTCTTTCTGACAACATTCTGCATCTTATAAGCCATCTGCCTTTTCTATGAGCTCATATTCTATCTTCTAAAAGTTCCTCACAATTGGGACACTATACAAATACTTTCTTTCATAGGCAATCATGTTTCGTCTTAATGAAAACTCCTCAATCAAGAAAGAAAAATCTTATGAGGACTTTGAAATTGCAGTATCTTGGTAACATATGACAAAAATGTTGGAAACCATTGCTCTATACCGTGCAGACGGAGACCTGTTACCTAAAATTGAGGACACTCAAAATCCAGTAAATTACAGGTGAAATATCTGAGACCAAGGAAATGTCAAAACACAAACTCTAAACAAGAGAAAGACACCTACGTTCACTTGTGATTCTTTACTTAGAGACCCTTTCCTGATGCTTAACCTAAAGAGAAATTTCACTGTTGCACACATATGTTAAAATAATACCAGTTAAAAATTATCTTTGGGAAGAAAGGAAGCTTATTTTCATAATCATACAGGTTTGAAACTGGTGAAGAGGTTTCCAAAATCAGGGAAGTGTCATCTCAGCCATCCAGTCTATTAAGTCTTCAGGTCTGACTCTTGCTCTCATTCTTACTTACTGAAGTTCTTTCACAGTATGCTAATAGGGAGAAAAACTTAAAACAAAACCTTAATGGCTAGGATATTCCAAGGGTGGAGGAGGAAACTAGCTAAATCCACACATGCTTTAACATACATTTGAAATGCCTCATCCCAGTTGTCTTTTGTAACCCTGTTTTGCAGATATCTACTCTATCAAGGGTTTTAGGTGAGGCAGATGTCTAAGCTAGCCTGGGGGCGACAAAACTCTATTTTGTGAATGCTTTTAACAAAAGCTTGAGTGCTAATGGCTGAGCAGTCATTGTAAGAGTTTCACTGCTGCATAACTTGAATTTAAACATGGGAATTAGCAGTAGTAGAGAAATCACAGACTGGTTTCAGATAGTATCAGACAGATAAAAAGACGATTTGATAAAGAATTAAATGTCAAACTCCATTTACCTTCACAGTGAGGGATGTCATTGCTCCATCCTTCTGCCTGACACTCACGGTAATTTCTTTGGCTGAGCATCCGGTATCTTACCGAATAAAGAGTAAATAATGCTAAAATACAGTCTCATTATGTGACAGAAACAGTAGTGCTGCTGTTTTTGAAGCAAAGAAAGTAGGTTTCGTATGTTCTAGCACAGACTAACCAAAATGTGACAAAACCAAGTAGTTTGGCCTGCGTCTTCCCTATTGTGTTTCTTTTAATTGCATATGGCAAAAAATAAGAAAAAAATCAGAAAGTAATCAGTAAGATGACTTCTTCATTACAGAGATAGCAAGCTTTGGCTACATGACAAATAACATAGGGGTAATTTACACAATCAATAGCAAGCAGAGTAAAACTCCTGTATGACTGAAAGCCATGTGACAGCATCAAAATATGACTTAATCCAAACCGTATGTATCTCATGCTTTGATGAGCTAGTATTATCTTAGGTTTGAAGGCAACATGGCCACAACGCCTTGGCTTCTGCTTTGTCTGAAATGTAGTCAGAGAAAGTACAGCTTGTCTGAAATGACAGCGAAGAACTGTCTGAACTTAAGGGATTAAGGAGAATATTAATTTTGGAACTCTTTTTTGTGGAACTCAGATTCCAGCAATACAAAGACTGAAAAAGCATGGATAAACCACTGTATCATGCTTATACCTGATTTGCATTTCAAGAGGAAAGAATCCAGTCATAGGCATACTTAACTAAGCACAACACTATGTATCTGCCTTTCTGCAGTTTTCATTGAAGAAGATGAATAGAGGAGGAAGAGAGAATAATTTCTTCCAAGCAGTCAGTGAAGACAAGGTAGCGAGTCTACCAGAAATGTCTTCCATCAAATATTTTTTACTTCATAATGCACAAAAATTATTTGAGCAGGACTGATGAGTAGTGGTTCTGAATAGGAAACTGTTGTGTGGCCTAATGACTTTGCTGGCATAACTGTATCATGACTGCCTGCTGGGAGCACAGATTCCAGCATACAATGCTGCATTTCCATCTGAACTAGAGCTGGCTGGTGGTCATGAGGCAGCTTTACAGATGGATCACTTTTTTTGTTTTCTACTCAGGTAGCCATGATTTCAAGTTAGTTACAGCCTTACATATTTTAGTAACGTTGAATGACATCTTCAGGTGCATGAGTTCAATTAACTCAATAGCACTAGACATGAGAAAGAGTTATCTTTAGTATTATTCTAATTGCAGAAAATCAGATTAAACAATGACCAAGCATTAAATATTAGTAAGTTTCAGCTGCATTACAGACAACAAATCTATAACTGACACTTCTTTTAATATTAAAACCTTTTGTTAACTCACATATATTGGATTAAATAAGTATTACCCATCGTTACATCTGTACTCAACTCTGGCACCAAATACAAATTCACTTCCGCTGGTAAGTTCAAAGGAACCAAATTCAGTATCTCCAGGATGTCCACAGGGCTTATCTGGCAAAAAAGAAGAATAACAACAAGAAAAAAAATTACTTACACCATACAGAGGAATGTGAAAGTGTGAAAGAGGGCACTTTTCTTGTAACTAGAGTGAGTACGGGCCTTTCAAAAATTCAAAACCGCTCAGCATTAGCTTGATTAATGCCCACTTTTTTAATCAATATCTTCAAAGAGAACATATTAGAGTAAGGATCTGCTGATTTTTTAAAAAAATATTAAATAACGAATTAGTAGGTTTTATTTCTTTAAAAAGGCTCAGCTCATCTTAAGTTTTACGACAAATTTAATGGCAGGATGTAACTTCAGCTTTTTTTACAACTTGTGACATAAACTGCTCCAAAGCTGCCACTACAGAATCCATTCATGATTGAAAGTGAAATGTCTTCAATGTGATGGGCATTGTGTTGAGTAAAAAGGGATGATCTAAGACCACAGGAGTCTTTTCATCCTGAGTCCTTTCTGCTCAAAGTTCCCCATAGGACTTTCTTGTGGTCTGGCCCTAATTATTTGCCCTGGATTCCCAAAAGTATTGCAAAGATGAAAACACCATACCTCTCACTCATCCACTTTTGGTGTTATAATACGGACTGCAAACTAAACTGCATAGCTACAACCTATTAGGCCTCCTCAGAAGAAACCTTTCCTGGTCCTTGTTGACCTAGGAAATTTAATTTCTTGGTGCATATCAACATCCTTGTTTTGTCCAAGGAAGAGGTGTGTTTCAGAGAAAATGGGCAACCTCATGATCAATTTTGCTGTCTAGTGTGGCCTATCCTGAAAAGGGTATATGATCACTTAACCTGTGGTAGACCATCGCTTTTCTCCTTCCACCTGCACCTTGCCAGTGCCAGTATCTTTCACTGGGTGACAGTATTTACTAAAATATGTCACTAAAAAGCAACACTAAATTTTGTATGATTTGAGAGATCCGTCTTCACGAGTAGTTATACAAAGACGAATAACTGAGAAGGTGGCTAAATAGAAAATGTAAAAGAAATTAGCAACAGCTTTATTAATTCATTTTTACTCATGATTTGTATTCATTCATCTGTTTGAATGACACCTGGGACTTAATTTGGTACTGTCAAACCAAATACTTATATTCTACTATTAAAAATTTTGTATGCTAGATATGTAAGAAAAAACGCTTGTGTGTTCAAAATTTCTTTGTGTTTAAAACTCATTTATTACAGAAAAGGAGTATTGCTGACTAACAATAATAAAATTAAACTATTTCACTAATGAATTCTGTATGAGGGTGTGAGATACTTCTGAACTCTTAACACAGTATACTAGAGATAATAAATAGCAGATCTCATCCTAATGATGAATTTTCCTTCACAGGTTAAAAAAGAAGGCAGGGAAAAATAATTTTGCACTTCCAAGTAATTATAGCTTTCATAGAACTAGCTGAATAAACTGAAAAGAAGAGAATCCTGTCTCTTGACTTGCACTCAGAAGCTAGGTTAGTGCTTTATTCTGCTTAGATTTTAAATTTCATCTGCATTAGACTTTTTCTAAAATTTTGGGAGCTGGCTCCTAATAACTTAATAACTTAACTTAATAACTTAACAACTTAATAACTTAACAACTTGATAACTTAATAACATAAATCAGGTTAATAAGGCTGGCCTAGACTAAGATCATCTCCTGTAAAGAAAAAAATTGTAATCCTTTGATCTGGAGAAAAGGAACTCCCAAAAATGTTTCCTTATGCATAATACTTTTTAGGATGGCATTTTAGAGGACGTAGAAATAAGTAAGTTACAGGTAAAGATACAATGGCAATTTCACACTGACATCACTGGCAAGGATGATGATCTGTCAGGTCAGACGTCTGCACATATTTTGCATAAATACTTACTTCTGCATTCTGCCCCTGGGACTTTTTCCTTCCATGCTCCATCAGCACACTCAACCACAATTCGTCCAAGTTTTATATATCCAGGCCGGCATGTAAATGTTACTTGAGTTCCATGTGGATAGGGAGGTTTGTCCCATATTCCAGTAGGCACTTCTTTAACCCTTCTAGGAGGAGGTTCTTGACAAGCTAAAAATTGCAAATAAAAATATGGGTGACTGAAGCATATGCTACAAATGCCAACATAATTTTATAGCAAATGTAGCAAGAAATCCTAGGGACATTTGTGATTAAACGAGCATGTATTTTCTACTTAATGATCAAAAAATAAGAAACTGCCAAGAATCCATGTTTTGTAGGAATATGAATTTAGAAGGATGAAGAATAGTCAAGCAAGTGACAAGAAACCACACAGGACAGCTTTAATTCATGAAATAGATTTTAGTTGCAAACACTGAGATGAGATTAGCGCCCTGGTTCTAATCACAGACATCTCTTACCTTTCCATCTGCAGGAGCTCCTCCATGCCTGTCCTTCCATTGCCACAGAAAACAACTCTGTACACTCTGTAGTTTCCTTTCAAACTGTTTTCTTCTGTAGCCACCACCATCCTTACTGACATGAAGTATATGTGTCATTTGATCAAGTTCTGTCAAATCTCCCCTCACCTTTACATTGCCTGAATTTTCTCTTCAAGCTGAGATCACCTGATATTCCAAAACTTATTTCCTTCTGTCCGTGAGATTACTTCTTATGACAAGTTACTTATTACATGATGTAATTAATTCTGGGTATTCACTTTGACCTTTGTTAGCTTCAAAGCATTTTGACCTAATTTGGGGGGTGGACAGTGTTGTCTGATATTTCTCATTAGCTCAATATTATACAGTCCTTCCCCAAAAAGCTCCTTCCTGGGCCTTCTTCAGTGTCCATGAAATGTACAGCCAAGCCCATACGAATTACAAGAAATGAGCTGGAATTAATTTTATTACGAAGTTCCTCAACAGCATGAGAATGAGAAAAATCAGACTAAAGGGGAAAGAAACAAGTGTTGGGAAGCTGTTAATGAAAGACTAAAAATGATCTTTGTTAAGAAACATTTTTTGTTGTTTATAATAATCGACCTAATTTAGGTGACTAATTCCCTATGCTTGGGTGACTGAAATGCACTTATTTTAAAGGCTGAAGCTTTACTCAGAGTAACAGCGTGTAGGCAGTCTAGCTAATTAGATGCAATGAAGTCCATTTTATACCTGAACATGAAAGGTGAGAATTTATCAAGAATAAATTAAAAAAAAAGGTCTCAGAAATGAAGCCTTGGAAAAGAAACGAAATCTCTGTATAGAATATAAATGGGAGAAGAAATGTCCACCAGGGAAGGAAATTTCTCTGTGAGTAGATTCGTTACTCAGTAGAGAGCTGGCACAAAAGTCCTCTCACCAGTTTAGTTGTAAGGCCACAGTTCTGAGAAAGCAGCAATACACTTGCTGAAGCTTTCCTGTGGCTTGTCCAGGTACTGCCTGAAAGTGGGACTACAGGAAAAATATTTAGGATCTTTCCTCATGTAATGCATGTGGAGTTATGGCTTGCTGAACTAAACTGTGGAGATCACAACCACAGATTAAGCAGCTGTGATTTCTAACACAAAGTGAGGAGACTAAATACTCGTTCTTCCACATAAAAGTGGGGAAAGCGAATTTAACTTTAGTTATACAAAGATATACCCTTGAACACTCGCTGTTTTTATTTAAGTCAGTGGAGTAGCTACCAAATTAGAGGCGTAATTTTAGAAAATTTTTTAAATGTCAGGAAAAAGATTTATTACAAGCAAAAAATGTATAATTTTAGGTGTTCTGTAGCTATAGCGTTTGAAAATATAAAGAAAAGAATGTTACTTGTGAGATCTAATAACTTTATTTTGGCTGACAAGCTTCGACGATACTGCTGAGGTGCTAAAGGAAGAGTATGCCCACACTTTCACGTTTTTTTCCAAGTACTTTAGTGAGTATGCTCCCTCCTACGAACTACATCGAGTAAAAATTATTGCTTCTGTCCACTAGAGGGTAGTACCCTACAACCAGAAAAGGTACCAGGGACTGCTACTTAGCAAGATAAAGACACATCCACTTTTTAACGTTTTTGCAAAATGCAGGAATAAGCGAAATAACAAGACTCCTCTAGCTACTTCTGTCTTTCAAATGTGTTAAAAATGGTTAGTTTACCCAAAAAAAGTTATTTGTAATGGTGAGAAAAGGAATTTTTCTAATTCTGCATATGTTTCACTAGAGCCTGTTAAAATTATTGCTTTCACTTTGCAAGCTGAGAAAGCACATTCTGAATTCTATGATTTTTAAAAAAAGGCTATTTATTACAGCTTATTATTTATGAGCTTCTCTGCTCTATTCCTCCCTTACTTCTGAGTTCTATTCTACTTTTATAGTCTGTTGTGCAGAATGGGCCCTCTTAACTCCTCCTTGTTTACATTTTTTTAAAAATAAAGCACGAAAGATAATCTCCTGATAGTCTCTTTATGAATTCCAGGACATGCTTATTTCTGGGTTTTATTTCAACTCTCTCTGACTGTTCTTTATCACTCCTGCCTTGATTGTGTTACCATCAAGTGTCACTGTATGTATATATATTTCTGATTACAGCCAATTTTTCTGTTTGTTTGTATGTTTGTTTTGGTTTTTTTTTTTTTTTTTAGTGCAGTTTCTTAGTAGCTTGAGAAGATGAAATCTGCTGACAGGTTGTACTTCAAAACTATATTAATTACATCATGCATTCACCATGTGTACTCACCAAAACTGGGAGGGGTTTATTTTTATATTAGAAAGCACGCACTAAATGCATACCTTCAGCTTTTAGTAAGAGACCAGGGGAGCTAGAATTAATCACTTAGTATTTATATGTGACTTTACCTCAGCTAGAAATAGCTTAAGCTGCTTTCTTGGCATCATTCTGCTGGTAGCAACTTCTGTAAAGTCAGGCACAAACTATGAATTCAGGTATAAGCATTTTTCAGCTCTTGTGCAAAAACCCATCTCTTGAACAACTCACACAGACTTTCAATATGAAGCTTGAACTAAGAACCCTCCATGACTCATGGTAATATTTGTCCTGAATAAATCAAATATTGCTACATTCACATTCCTTTGCAATCTCTCTGATCTAAAGAAAGCACTGTGAAAAGGAAGTGCTAACCAAGGCAAACTTTCTTTTCAAATTCTGGGACTTTTCTGTATTTCTCTGCAAACAAATTATATTTTATTAGTTGCTTTGGAGCAGTATTTGTTATATGTATATATAAAAAAGATAATACATTTCATTAATGCTCTGGTTTTTCAATTTTTCAAATAAAATCCATCAGATTGTTTTCATTAATATGGTCTTCATAATCTTAACCTAAAATTAAAAACAACCTGAACCGAACAAAGACACACTAGTTCAAAAACATATAGCACCTTTTCTGCAACAGTCTATGCAAAGTAATCCAGACAGAAAGCAAAGAAATTAAATTACTAAATATACATTAAACAATATAAACACAATACCAAGAACAACAAATTGAACAGAGAAGCGAAAATATCAAAGACTTCTGAAAAGATATCCAGAATACTAGCTACCTCTATGTATGAAAGCAAGCATACCTGTACACATTTATCTCATTTAATGAATAAAAACCAGTCTGTCAGTCAACAGATATTTTGTAAGCTTTTCAGTCAATTTAGTAACCGTTCCTCTTCTTCAAATTATCTCATAGATCATTCCAGAGAGAAAGAAATGTACATTTATTGAATATTTTCTATTTTAATCTACCAGCTGTTTACAGGTTTTAGATGTTGGAATAATTAACAAACATAATTACTAACAAATGAGTTGTCTGGGTCTAGTTTATAGGGATACTATCAAAAAAGTTGTGCAACAGATTAACAGCAGTAGTTAGCCAAATAAAAGGTGAAATAATACCTATGACAGGATACTGAGTAATAAAGGTGCTAAACACTGCTAGAAGAAATCTCAATTATTGTTTTCAGAAGTTCATTAAAATAGGTTACAATGCCAACATTTTATTTACATATTGTTTTAGTTACCATCTTCACATACACTTTAAGAAAGGGATTTTGGTGAGGGTTTTTTTACATTAAAACTTACCTCTTTCTGCAGTACAATACATCCAACATAAGAGCAGAGCTGTATAACCCAGGAGTGACATCCTAGAGATTCAGAAACTCAGCAAACACATTTAGTATCGTAGCCTACTTTTGGGGTTTTTTATTACTTTGTGTTATTTCCACTCCTATTTTATTCACTAACTGCTCCAGGGACTGACCTTGCCTTTATACTCTGATTTCAGCAGTCACTTCCCCTAATCCTCTTGCAACACACACGTGTGGTTTTTTTGTTCTTTTTTTTTTTTCCCTCTCCAAACTTTGCTAAATGAATAAATAAATAAATGTCTGGCAATTTTGGTTGACACAGTCCTTCCCTGCGGTCTGCTTGTTTTTACGTCATACCTCACTTTTTTTTCATATAAATCTCTTCCATACTCAGATAAGCTTATTTCTTTTAGTATCCAAAAGAAGCTGTATAAATAAATTATTTTGTGATTCCTTGTTTCTTATATGCTTAGTTAAAAAACAGAAATTCACATTAAATGTGTGTAAAAATGAACTTCTCTACTATATGCCTATCATTCAAGATCTATGTTGAAAACAACTGAAATAAAAAGCAGACAAAAATACAAGTGCCTTTCTAACCCACTGGTTCTTGTATAAGATAAACAACTACCCAGAGCAAAGGAAACGTACTTGATGAAATATTTGATTAAATAAACCTAGGTGATGTTGAAGCACTTGTTTCACTATCACATGAGAAATGATAAGATGGAGATGTGAATGAATTGTAAGATGGATAATGAACTATACAAAGAAAAACAATAAAGATTGTGATAAAAGAACTATATAAGCTAATAGAGGAAGTCCTCATGGATTTATGTAAGAAGCAGTCTTATATTAATAAGACTGCATTTTCATTAAAGGTCTTGGTTTTATAAGAAGTGCAGTCCAGTGGAAATGCAGATCATATGAAGAGAATTATTTGATACTGAGAATTAAGAAAAGAAATGTAAGAGTACAAAGTGCTCTCAGGAGACAGACACAAACCAGCTGCATACCAGTCCCACGTAG